CAATGTTAAGAAGTGTACGCCAAAATAGTGTAGAATCCATCGTTTATGGAATATCTGAACCTGAAACATGCAATGCTGCTATAAATGCTAACTGTCGTACTATTTCTGAGTTATTGGTATTTCTGTCTTCCTTTGTGAAACCTCCTCACAGCAATGAGATACAAGAAAAAATTGCTATACGCAACATTTTCTCACTTATGAGGAAGTACCCTATTCCTGACAGAAGAACAAGTGGATCTGCTGAAGGGTCACTGGGTCATCAGTGTGTCAAGATGGGACATGTGAAGGCAAATTGTTGTGCTAAAAATCCACATATCATATATTAACTGTAGTTTCTCTACCAGTCAACATGAAGTACCAAGTTCATCATAAAGTTCCAACACTGTTTCAATTTGTTCCACCAAAGCTGCGATTGAGAAATGGGGCAATAATAATATCTGTATAGAGGTCCAACAGCCAGTAGGTTCAACGAAAGTAGCTATTGATGGCCACCAGTTCTGGGCATTGATTGATACTCGAGCTGATTCATCGCTGATTTCTGATATATTTTCACATTTATTTGAAAGTTATTCCATGTAGCATAATCTCAAAGGGCCTCACGACAGTCACCATTGAAGGCTAGTAATTTACAGGTTGTACAAACATTTCTGGTATTGATGATTATCCTGATAGAAGTATTTTAATTCGACAAAATATTTTTGAAGATCAGAGACTTATACCCATAACAGATTATTCAGGATCTCGTATCATACGTCGCAAGTTACTAGGCATTCATAGAATTTCTGAGGGATTCAGTTCTGAGTTGTCTGAAGTCGATGTTTCTGCAAGTTCCGCAGTGATCTACAAGTAATTCTTCGAGATTTTGCAGATATCAATATAACTGGAAATAAAGTAGGAGCTGTCAATAACATAAACCTGAAAATACGCTTAGAGGACATTATTGTCACCCGTACTCCCTATCACCTGACTACCAATGAAAGGAAGGCAGTTCGAGAAATTATAGAATATTTGATAATATCAAGTGAATCACCGTTTGGCAGTCCTGTGCTTACTAATGTGCGTATTCATTCATGAGAATGCATTTGCCAGGTCACTCGAACGGCCACTTTGAATATCTGCGGATGCCATTCGGGCTTGCCAATGCACCGACTGTATTTCAGAAAGCGGTTAAATTTGCCCTCGGTATTCTGAAGGATACAATTGCTCTAGTTTATCTCGACGACATTTTGATTCCTAGTGCGGCCCTGGACGAGGAGTTCGATAACGTTTGACATGTACTGGAGACATTTTTCACCGCAGGTTATTCTTTGAACATTGAAAAATGCCGTTTTTTTCAATCATCCCTGGAATACTTCGGGAGAGAAGTCGCAGTTGAAGGCATAAGAATTGAAAAAATGAAAAGCAGGGAAAAGTTAAGGTCTTTTCCTGATATGATGAATATAATTTGTCTTTGCAATTCAAGCAATGATTTTGCTTTGCAGATTGTTCATCAAGTGAAAAAGGTGTCGAGAGTGTTGCTCTTGTCAGGAGGGAAGTAAAAATTGATCACCCGATGGAGATTATTTTGTCGAGCTGCCGTCACGTCGGTCATGGGAAGCTGAGACGTTGAATCATAATTGCGATATCGAAAGGTTTTTGTTTATGGGATGATTCAATGGAATATGTGTTTCTCCCTAATCGAATACAGAAGCCGCTCATGTGTACTTGTTGTATGTGATTCAGTTTACAAAACTAATCAATAGAGTTTATTCTATGACTTTCACTATAAGGGTTTTACAAATATCGCGACACGTGTTTAGCTATATAATAGCTTCTTCAAGCATAACTGAGAGTTACTTCTAAATTACAACCTTATATACTATAACCTAGTACCTATTCGTCTACCTAAGTTATAAATCTACCTGGAAAAATATACCTGAAAAAGTCAGGTACCAATACATTTTTCGAAAGTCTACCTGTAAGTCTACCAGATTTAAATATACCTAACTATTTTCACCTGCGAATGAACATATTCAATAATGGCGAATTATCCAATTCAGTTTGATCGCTCATAAGATGATGAGAGTTTTTGAATTTGTTTATTTCCATACTCTACAATAGGTTGAGTTTCTACCTTTCTTCTGGAAATGACGGGGTACGTATTCATGGTTGAACTCATGTCCCTCTGAGATTAGATTACTGGCATATGTGGAATTTATTTTTCCGTTCTGAAAATTATATTTGTGTTCCTTTATGCGAGTTTTGAACGTTCTACCAGTTTGACCTATATAAAACATCGGGCATGATCCACACGATAATTTATAGACTCCTGATTTTTCTGCTTTATTTGCAGCCCACTGCAAATAAAGCAAAATCACGCTACTATACACTATCAAGTCACCAGTAAATTATTTATATTTTCAAATATTATAATTGAAGTGTGCATATATCTAAGCATTGAGCTCGCGTATATTTGTTCTGTTTGGTCGATTGAAATTAACACAATTTCCATGAAATATAATATTCTCATATCAATTATTAAGACTATGATAAAAATAAAATAAAAACAACAATAAAAATTAATTGGCGCTCCGGGGCGACTTCATTGATTCCAGTGGCGCATTTGCTTTTTCAGCTGCAGGAAAACCCGGAAAAACCTGCAGCACCACATCATCAGAAGATCTTGAACTAACAATGTCCTCTCCCTTATGAAACAAAATGTAGGGTGTCTTCAGAGGCTCCAATAAATTCAATATTGAGTAATTTTAATTTCATTCTCATGAAAAATAAACTTTTACTCGAAGAATTGATTTCATAAGAACAGATAAAATTGTATTTCAAAATTAGCCATCATTGCCATTGATTACGTTCCTCCAAGGAGAATTCCAATTGCAAATTCAACAACAATCCAAAAGAACCTACTACCAAAAATGGAACAACAATAAATGCAGTATTTATTAGATATCTTGATAATATTATGTCCAATACTTTTGTAACATACTTCAGTCATCATAGATCAATTGTCACAGTAATACCGTCAGAGGCAACATAGAATATAACTATTATCGAAGTCACTGATTGAATTTTTAATTTTTGTTATTGGTAAAAATAAATATTCATTGAATAAACAATCATCTTGTTCAGAAAAAAATGTTTTGACACTAGGCCATATTAGTTCCTGTCTTTATCTGTTTTTATGCATGCTTCTTGTACAAAATAATTTTGATGTTTCACATCTTCGTTTAGAATTCATTTTCTCTTTGGAAGATTACCACTTTTTTTTAAGTAGAAAGCCATATACTTTCTTTCACAATAGCATTAGAACATCACGAATAAGATAAAAAAAAAAAACTCATTTCACTATTACAGCATACAAAACACGAGAAAGTGGGATATTACCATATTACAGTAAAAATGAATAATATCTCAAATTTCTTCCAGACAAGGGTTAGAAGGAATATGAAACTACTGATTAGCGACTCTTCATTGATAACTGCAAAAAGAGTTAAACTATGTTCTGCTGCACAATGAAAATGAATTTGCATAAATACCAACTGCCCATTCATTAAATCTTAAAGAAGAATATCAAAATATTAAATCGATTCTGGAAAATATTGATCACAAACATCAATATAGGCCGGTGATACACAAAATATCCTCGCTTCATTTTTATGTGCGAAGCACGTTTACTAGGAACAATATGTATGGTCCTCTCTTAGACGATCCTAAACTGGTGAAGCCAATATAGAGCCATTGTTGAATAGATAAAATATCATACTTTCGCCAATACATATCGAATTAGGTATGATGAAGCAATTCGTTGAAGCATTGAACACGGAAGGTGAGTGCTCTGAATACATTTAGGATACAATTTCTATGCAGAGTATGGAAAGTAGAAAACCGGGATATCTGAAGCCCCTCCAATCCGGAAATCAATGAAAGATTCAAAATTCATGAAAATTATGACTGATTCTGGAAGTGAAGTTTGGAGTTTGGCGTTAGGAAATTATCCAGTAAACTATGCAGCACCAAAGTAAATTAAAAAACGCCAAAGATGTTGGAACGCTTTGAATTTTTGGGAGCAAATATGGGCATGAAGTCACACTCTCTTCACAGTCATCTGGATAGATTTTCTGATGGTGTGAAAAACTATATTTAGGAACAAGAAGAGCGCTTTCATTAGGATCTAAAAGTAATGAAAGGAAAGTATCGAGATAAATGGGACTGTCATATGATGGCAGATTATTGCTGGACTTCCAATAGAGATTGTTCCCAAAAAATGAGCAAAGAAGGCAGTTTTCTGAAGTTCAGAATGAATTTTGTTCTTCGTGAACTTTTCTGAATGTTAATTGACCATTTGAACGAAATATTCAATGCTCATTTTCAATGAAGAGTTAATATTCAAGAATCAACTTGTTTTGTCTTCCTCATTTTTACTGATTGAAAGAAATACAAAAATGATGATTTGAATCTGTTCAAAATTTGTTTTTTCCGTTAACCAGCTGTCGCACCCTTAAGAAACACAATCCCTCAGTCTTTCAAAAAAATCCACAGTTTTGTGAATTGTTGCCATAGAGGTACTCTAAACAACTTCCAAATCAAAGGCAACAAAACCACTGTTGACCAGTGTTATGATCCAACATCAGTCACCACAATTTTGACTTGCCATCAGTAGTGATAGGCTGAAACACGAAAGCATTTTTGAATTCGATTATCCTTAAACAACAACCATGAGTATATCATACTCACGAATGCTTTTTTAAACTTTAATTTCATCTAGTTAGGGTGTAGTGGAAACTACATAGAGACACAGTTAGCGATTTCAGATTCGGCGGTCAGAGCTCAGCTTAGCAACAGGATTTCATTTATTTCAGGTTAAAAACAGGAAATTGTTCATTTCAAGTGGATATGGGCAGGAGTTTTCTGTCATTCTGACTCACATCGAGAGTTGACTTTCATGATTTATTTTGTTTCGTCTTCTGATATGAATCGAACTGTTTCTTTTCTTACACTAATTTCAGGAAACAACATTTCTGGAATATACGAAGTTCAACCCAAAATGTCTGAAAAACCGTTTATGGTTTTATGTGATATGGAAACTATGGGTGGAGGATGGACACATATACAAAAACGATTTGATGGTTCTCAAGACTTCTATTTGGGATGGCGAGAGTATAAATTCGGATTTGGAAACCTTAGAGGAGAATTCTGGCTGGGACTTGAAAATATATATCTTTCAACGGGTAAGATAGTTTCCATGATTTTTTCTACTTGTGATTCGATGAAAAAATGAAAATATATCCCAAGGTCCAATGAAAGTACCAAGTCCTTGCTTCTCGTGTGAACCTCAGACTTTGTAGGTATATGTGGCAGATACCAGACGGAAAAACAAAAACTGAGTCAGCTAATGCCGCGCAGAAAGCCGGAGTGAAATCGTCAGGCACATGTGCAACGTCATTCATTTGGAAGATACGTCGCGAATAACTACCTGTATATGAAGAGCTGAAATTAATTTCATGTGGTCGAGATGACCACCGACAAACCAGTTTCAGAGTACTAACTCCTCTTCAATGCCTGGTGGGTTGAGGTGATTGAGGTGAGTGGGTCTATTCGACCCTTCACCGTAACCCGCAAGGGTTTATTGTGGCTCACACTCATTCACACTCGACCAAGTGAACCCAGCTTCTTAACGAAGCCGCTCAAGAATTTGGTACAAGGGAGTTTTATACGCTACCCTGCTCTTGAGGAGACGACTCACTCGTTTCCTGGCTGCACCACTGAACTTTTTTTAAGGTTCAGTTATTGGATCATCATGTATATGAAGAAGCCCCGAGTTTGGTTGAGATACGTGGGCGATACCTTCATAATATGGAACCATGGGAATACTGAACTAGATGCCTCCCTGAAGCACATCAACAACGTGAGTCCTTCCATCACTTTCACAATGGAGGAGGAAGTACACAACGAATTGCCATTCTTAGACGTATTGGTGAAGAGGACAAAATGGGAAACATCGAAAACCCACTCACACAAGACAGTATCTGAAGTAGTGATGGGCATAATCGAAAAATTTTGGTAATCGAATTATTAGTAATCGAATTGTATGAATAATCGAATTATCATTCGAATTATAAATCACTCGCAATGCGCAGGAGAATCACTCATTTGACTTATATATATGACAAATAACCAAAGTAGGTAGTTGCAGTTCTAATACCATTTGCAATTCGTACTTGCAAACATAACCGCTTTAAAAATTAGTCATTTTTACGTCAGCCGCCGATAGTATCAAACGTGTGATCTGTGATTGCGAATAATATAAAAATTGATTCAAATTATCCTGATAATCGATTCAATATCTCGAATTATTATGATAATCGAATTATCGATTATTTTTAATTCGAATTAGCCCATCACTAATCTGAAGCAGGAATCCAACCACCATCAATCGACTAAGAGAGGAATCATCAAGACTCTAGCAGATCGTGGTTTCGGGCTCTGTAATACAAAGGAAGGTCTCGAAAAGAAACTAGGAATTATCAAAAATGACCTTCAACAGAATGGTTATTCCAAAGTGATGATGAAACATCACGAGTGCGGAGAATCATATATTGGTGAAACTAAGAGGCCATTGAATGTTCGCATTGCCGAGCACAAGAAAGCCGCATATATGTTGTCCAACAACGCAGTCAGCCAAGCAAGCTAAGAGATACGCAACATATGAAAACCTCTAATCAAGCGGAACACGATCAACTTTCGCCAAACGGTCAGATTTCGCTAAAACCGATGAAGCGAAGAGAAAGCACTCGATTGACCTATGAGTAGTCAGATTTCGAAGGAATAAGTCCAGTTATCACCCGAAGACGATTGTGGATACTAACAATCGAAACATCGTGAAGTAACTTGGCTTGGAATTTTTTTATTTATAGTTTTAATTTCTTGTAAATGATTTTCAATTCCCATTCTTGTTATTATTTCAATTTTTGATTGTTGCTTTCATTTTATTTTATTGTGATTTCAGTTTCCTTGGCATAATATAATTGTAATTTTTTAGCTAATCTTTTTCATTTTAATATATTCTTTTAGGGATTTATATCATATAAGACAATGGAAGTCCGAATTAATGAAATACACTACGAATCATTGCCAACCACCTTCAAAGAAAAAAAATGTGAAAATATATAGGGTGTTATATTTAAATCAGAGATGATGATGTCATTTTTCTGTGTAACCTGAAGTGTTGGCAAAGAGTGTTCATTTTCTTTCTGTGAAACAAATTGAAAAACATGTTTCCCAATTTTCAGTAACTCCAGCTATTGTAAAATATTTTTTTATAACTGTGTTGACTTCTTTTTTAAAACATATCTTTCATTGCAGCTGTAGAAGGTACAGAGTTACTGGTCGAAATAGTCGATAGAGACAATGTGAAAGCTCATGTCCGCTATAAAGCATTTGCGATTGGGTCTGAGGCAGAAGGATATCCACTGAAGGTATTGAAAGATTTTACGGGAGATGCCGGCGACTCACTAGTCGGACACTTGGGAGCAAAATTCACAACGAAAGATTTTGACCAAGACAAAAATGCAGGAAATTGTGCTATTTTATTCAGTGAGTGCAGGATGTCATCATTCATTGAAAAAAAACATAGTTATAATATTTTTCTCCGTTAAGTCGAAAACCTCTCAACTTCATTTTCCAAGCTTTCTGTGTTTTTCAGTTGAACAATTAGTTTCAAGAAAATATAATTGAAACAAATTCATGAACAAATACATGAACATGAACACAATTACGTTTAAAGTTCATTTCTTCAGATTTGTTTACTGCCAGTTTCAAGCATAGCCCCCTGACTAATAAGAAAGTTTTCCTTCCTTATTCATAGGAATCGGGCACATTTCGGATATGCAGTTGGTTAGAACTTTGTCCACTAGATGGAGCGACATTTTGTTGTTCGCTCCAACTTAGAAAGAGGAATGAAATAATCTGAAAGAATTCCGATTTTCAATTATAGAATATCATTGACTTTAGGTCGATGATGGCCACTATCTTGCACTGATGAGTGGCTAATGAGCTGTGAAGATTGCTGCACTGACGCCTGTCGGATATAATCCAATGCCTTTCGTGGTATTAGCCAGGGGATTAGTCATTTTCTGATAGGTGTCAGTACATTCAACCTACTGTGTAAGTATATTCGAAACTGGCTCGAACGTTCAAAGTTTATTTCTTCAGAAATACTGATAATTGACTTCGTATTCCAAATTTTTCAATGAATAAAATTGTTTTATTGTAGTGAAAATGATCAATATTTCATTCATCCCATCTCTCACATTTTCTAGGTGGTGCATGGTGGTATACCGATTGTCACTCTAGTAATCTCAATGGAAAATACCGAAATAGTGTTCTTTCAGACCAATATAAATACCAAGGAATACATTGGCACACATTTCGAAATCATGAATATTCTCACGCCAAATCTAGGATGTTGATTAGATCAGTTTAATTCTGAATGAGGAAGGTCAAATACTTCCTTAATTTGAATTTGTATGGAATTTGAATAAACTATATATATATATACTTGTTTGCATTTTCTATATACAACCAATTTTGAATTTCTTGTTGAAATTTTTCATTCAACCACATTCAACTTATGGATTGCATCATACTAATACTTTGAATTTATTCTTTTATTTTCACAGATCTGCGATACTCTTGAGCAGTCTACAATAGTACTACAAATAAATCACAGTTACAATGCTAACACCTATTCAAAATCCATAGTGTTCATTTAGTTGACTTTTATTCGTTTTACAGTTAGGAATATCTCAACTATTGCTTATCGAAAAGTAAACATTTATGGAATGTACTAGCTGAGCTCAATGTTCATAATAATTCGTGAACACCTTTCAGATGTTGAAAAAATCAACTATTTTTTGGCAATATTGCTAATAATANTGAGAGGGGTTTTATGATCCACAATTATAGTACACGCAACGCTAATTGTATACGTTTGCCATTCTCTCGCTTATCACTGGGACAGAATTCATATATGTATCAGGGAATTATTTGCTATAATCACACAGTCACACTAATGGGTGAAATTGAGAGCTTTAAATTATTTAAATCAAAATTGTTTGATCTTTTATGTTCAAATGCCTTTTATTCAATGGACGAGTTCTTAGCATTCTGTTCATAGTATATATAAATTGGTATAGGGTAGCTTATGCTTTTATTTTTATACTAATTGTATTTGTTGTATGTCTGACTAGTCCGATAAGTTTTAGGGAGACAAGTTTATATGCTGTATCTTGTAAAACTTCAGTGATGAATAAACATATCTATCTATCTATAACCTCGTTAGTCCTTAGCTCGCACAAGTTTCGACTTCTGAGGGTTGTCGTTCGTAGGAGTGCGATAGCTGGTTGACGAAAAAATCATATTTTAAACATTTTTTTAAATTCATTCTTATTTCACTTGTTCTTTCATAGATTTCGAAGCATAGTAGAATCTCATTAGACAATGGGAGTCCGAAATGATAAGAGTCACCATGAAACATTATCAACCACTTTCAAAAAAACATACATTTGTCATTTTATTTACATAAGGTGTTTCTTTTGTGAGTAAATTGAAGCTTGAAATTTCGTTTAGAACCGAACATGAAAATGTCAATAATACTATAACGACTTTTATTTTCCAGAGATTCAAATTTAGTTATATCACAAACTTTCATCAGTTCGGATTTCCATTGTCTAATGTAATATAAATTGATTTGAAATTGCTGAAAAAATATTAAAAAGATTAACCGAAAATAATAATTTTATTTGACAAATAACTGAAATTACAAAGAAATAACATACAAGCAACAACCAAACAAATGAAAATTGAAATAACAATAACAGCTGAAAATTAAAAAAATCAATACGCTCCTGACATTTTACCTCAAGTCAGCTAGTCAAATAAACCGCGAATATTCATCGCACTACTGAAATCCCCTCGCGACCCAGTATCTTAAAACTCTTAGCACCTCAGTCCCTTCAATAGCTTTCCCAGCAACCTCTGAAATTATTTATTATTTCCGGAACTGGTACTCTTAACATCCTCTACATGTCCAGCGGATAAGTCCGCAAGAATTACCGTCCAGTTCCCGACATTTCTAATGTCGTGAGTCTGCTACTGATATATAGATGTCACTGCAAGGGTCATTTTGATTTTTTGCTGTTTTGAATAGTGGTATGTAGACTATGCCAGACATTAATTTTATCATGTCGTTAAAATTGAGGCTGACACTCTAACCCCTCGGAACATAAATTTTGATATTTATTATATGTTTAATTGCTTTTTGTACTTTTATTCTAAATGGGGTATACAGAATGGATAACATTTTTTCGATCCTTAATGAATTGACTTTAATGAAAATGGAAATCTCAAAAGTTGTGATTGATAAGTTAGAAGGTCAATCAAATTGGGTCGACTGGAAGTTCCAGTTGAAGATTCAACTACATGCGTGTGAAGCAATACAAGCTGTGGAAGGTACGCTTCAGAAACCTAGTGAAATTCTAGATTCTAGTGAAAAAGTTTCACGAAAGAGGCAGAAGAGAAGATTTTCTGATCCTGCAGAATGAAAATATAATACTAATAAAAGAAATTGAGAGAAAGGGGTTGAGTATACGGGTAGAAAAAATAACAAATTCGACAGGAAGAAAACTAAGAGAGTAATGAAACCGAGATGTCTGTGTTCAAACAAACCATTGAAAACCGATGAAGAAATAATAATTCAGTGTTACAAATTGACGGATAAAGAGCGAAAATTAATTTTTGCCAAGTTTTGGTCCCTTTCGTGGTCTGAGGAGAAGAACTACATTTCTGCAAAAGTCTTGAGAAATAAAACGAAAAGATTAAAGCATAGAAAGGATCCGGAAGTAAGCCAGAGGACATCTTCGTATAAGTATTTTCTTAAAAACAAAAGCGAAGAAATTAGGGTTTGTAAGCTCATGTTTTGCAATACGTTAGGAATTTTTATGAGAACCATATCAGAGTGGATAAAAGATGAAATGTCTAGCCCAGCCAAAAGTGAAAATGAAGAGAATAGTGATAAAAATACACAAAAAACCTTCACGTTTCGATGAAGGAAAGCTAAATTTGAATAAATTCTTTGAAGACCTGTCTAAACTTGAATCACAACAAAATCGTCAACAAAATTATATATAGTGCCAAAGTTCAAAACTAAATCGGAGCTTTATTTACTGTATAAAGATAATTGGTGTGTAGAACATAATATAGCTCCATTATCCATTGCCACATTCTCGAACATGTTTGAAGATCTGAATTTAGCATTGTTTTTGCCGAAAAAAGACGGATGCGATGTCTGCATAAGCTACAAGACAAAAAATCTAGAGGAATCTGTTTACAGGGAGCACATTATCAAGAAAGAAGAAGCACGATAAGCAGAAGCAGAAGACAAAAATTCAAAAAATAGGGTATTTACGATGGACCTTCAGTCAGTCTTTTCGTGTCCGAAATCAAACGTATCAGCTCTGTACTATAGCACAAAGCTTATTGTACACAATTTTACAGTTTTTGATTTGCACTCCAAAGATGGCTATTGTTTTCTCTGGCATGAAGGTCAAGGGAAGCTCAGTGCTAACTGTTTCCATCAATAATTTGTAACATCTTGATAAATGAAGTAATTCCTCAGCTTGAGCCAATGCAAAAAATAATATTATAAACTGACGGTTGTAGCGCTCAAAACCGTAATTGCAACGCGTTGTTGAATCTTGCACTTGTAAAACATGTTTGTATCATCCAGAAATATTTAGAAAAGGGTCACACTCAAATGGAGTGTGACTCTATACACTCTACCTTAGAAAGGCAACTCAAAGGTAGAACCATTAATGTGCCAGCTGATAATGTATCCCTATGTAAATTACCTCGAAAAAATCCTAGACCGTATGAGGTGAGCTATTTAGATTACACTTTTTTCAAAAACTTCAATAAACCCAATTCAATAAAATCAATTAGACCTGGATTTGAAGTTGATGATCCAACTGTTAACAATCTTAGAGCACTGAAGTATAATCCAGACGGCAAAATCGAGTTCAAGATTCAACATTCCGAGGAATTTCAAGATATGTCAATGAGATTAAAATAGAGAACCGTCCAACATTCGAAACAAAACAACCTAATATCTCTATTATTTTGGCATTCTCCGAGTTTTACTAAAATGTTTATGAATGTTTAATAAAGGACTATATGAACATTTTTAAAGTATTGAATATTCTCAAAAATACATCAAGATTGATTTATGAAACATTTCATTATCCAAAGTGAAATACTCAAAATTGAAAAAAATATACCTAAATGTATTCCACGAAATGCTTTCAATTCTACTACCGCCAGATTCATTGAAAATTCCTAGGGCGTATTTCGATTAGGTTTCCATCAGTCCGACAAGCATTAACAGGACATTCGGAAATTTATGCGGAATTAGGAAACTCCCACAATGGGAAATTACTGGAAATTACCTGATGTCTTACAGGAAGTGTTTTCTTGTTCCTGTAGATTGCTGCCGGAATTTGTGAGCCTATTCGAATAGTAAGAGCCTTTAATGGTTTCGCACGATTAGATTTTTTTTTCTCTCTTCTTCTGCTCCTCAATGATGAAATAGAATTCCTGTAACAAAAAGAATACGGTCTGAACACAAGCTTCAACACATTACCTGGAATCATTGAAATTTTCATTTATCACGGAGTGAAAAAATCATTTGTTAATAATAATTTCACTAAAAGGGTTTATTTTCAGGAGAAAAAATAATTTTTGGGAAAGAGAGTTTTTGGCTTTCTACAAGATGGAGAAGTAGAAAGCCAAAAACTTTCTTTACCAATAATTTCATAGTTTCAAACAACCTCGAAATAATATCTGAAGAAGTAAAGATCTGCATTTCCCATTTCCAACAAAAAAAATATTGTTGCTAATGGTTAGAGTTGAATTTATAGTAAATCTTTATATTTGTTTTATTCTTTGATTTAGGCTTTGCGGTATTACGATGAATCAACAGATATGTTGACTAATTTGCAGGTTACTTACATTCAGTTAGCGATTTTTATATTTTTTCAAGTTGGTGATATAGTTTCGATTATATGTTTACAGATTCAGCTGTTCAGCATGTTTAGTCTGTTGGTTTGATGAGAGGCATAAAGTTAGAAGTGTTTTGTGTGTTTGGCGTTTTTACGCTATCGAAAAAAATTGATCGAAGAATTTGCATGAAATATTTTGAATAAAATTAAATAAAGTATTCGAAACACTTGAAATGTTGACAGTGGCATACGGTGATGGTACTTTGAGTCAGAAAAATTGTTATAAATGACACAAACTTTTCACAGAAAGCCGAGCAGATGCAAATGACGAAGATGACGATGCAAGTGAAGATTCCGGTGCATTTGAATTATGAAACACAGAGATTATGTTTCAACCTATATATAAATCTACATCTCAAGTTTGGTTTCGAGGGAAACAAACCATTACAAGCAACATTAGATTTGACCGAAATTTCTTTCTCAACTGTACGTAAAATAGT